TTTAAATATTGAAGTTGAAACGTTCCAAGAGAAATGGAAGAGTTTTTGAGTTAAATGTGAAAATTAATTGGATTTAAATATTGAAGGTGAAACGTACCAAGAGAAAGGGAAGAGTTGAGTTAAATGTAAACATTAATTTGCAAAATTACTAAGAAAAAAAGTCAAAATTTGGAAAAAAGAGAAAAATAGGATCTTTGCATCGAGGAGATGCCACGTCAACCTATCATGATTTTGTTTTATAGAGATATATAGATTTAAACTAGGTTTACTTATATATCCTCGTTTGGGTTGCAGCGTTAGTGTATTTTGAGATAAAGAAAAAGAATTTTGCATGCTATTTAAGAATTAAAATATAGGATGTAAGAATAGTAAGAGATCAATGACTAAGCAGATGCATAATCAACAAATTATGCAAAACAGTAGGAGATCAGTGGTCGTAATTGACGATAGGATGGAGAGTATGAACATACCAAGTGGAATCTATGGAATTCAATTTTATTTCATGTGCAAATCAAACAATTGACTGAAATTTAGTTAACGAAATTGATCGTTCTAGTTTCTTCAAATCCCATACAAATTTTGCAAACCAAACGGCGAGTTAGGGGCCGTTCACACAACGCTTACCCGTAATAGTTAAAACTTTTATTTAACTTACAGGGTAAGATTTTAGTCCATTAAAGCGACATCATATGCAACATTTTTTATTCGGTAAATGCTTACCGGGTAAGATTCTCCTTGCTCTTATTGGGTAAGATTATCAGTTTTATCATCTTCATCGGATAAGGTAAAAGTGACTCGATAATCACTCACCGTATAAGCATTTAGTAAACGGCACCTAAGTATACTATGACTACCATTATTATTTATAATCTCGTCCAAAATATCAGATAAATAAAATTGTAATTTAAATCAGAAATCACAAATTATTAAATGGCGACTGATACTTGCATTATGAAAAATATCTATACATTAAACGTTATTGTTTAACACTTCTATTTTAATCTTATTTATATTTGGGCAAAAGTCGAATACTGACAATCACAATTTGTTTCATATGAAACCCGCTTTCAAAGACATCAATTAATCTTATTTATATTGTGAAAGAGACAAGATGGAAGATGGTATTTTTCTATTAAAAAATAATTTACTTGGGATCATATAAGAATTTTAATCGCTTGTAAAAATCCATTAGAACATTAAGAAAATAATATAGAAATAACTTGTAGGGTTAATTCAACTGACAATAAGACTTGAGTATTTGTGAATCATCTTTAGTGGTTCCCAATTCGAGTCCTGCATGCTCATCTACGATTTTTTTTATTGTTCTTCATGATCTTCAGGATTAGTCAAGGTGCGGATACACTGACTCAGATATTCATTATTAATAAATAAAAGTTTGAGTAAACTACAAATTTGGTTCCTGTGGTTTGTCGAAAATAAAATTTTTCATCCCTACAGTTTTGAAATTACAAGATGACCATCATGATTTGCAAAAACCTCCAGATTTTGGTCTCTTTCTTCAACGGCCGTTAAAAGATTCCCTTAAATGAGAGGCACTTTTGTCCTTTTATCCATTTTTTATACTTTACCCGATCAAAATCGATTTTATGATATTGGTCCTTGTGATTTTTGATTTGGTAAGAGAAGAATATGGATAAAAGGATAAAAATGCCAATCACTTAATGGTATCTTTAATGGCCATTAGAGGGAGGGATCAAACCTAAACGTTTTTATAAACCATGATGATCATCTTGTAATTTTAAAACTGTAAGGATGAAAAATGTTATTTTTGACAAACCACATGAACCATCTTTGTAGTTTACTCAAAAAATAATTTACATGGAATCATAAGAGAATTTTTATTAGGGGTGACAAAAAATGATCCAACCCGCTAACCCAACTCAAAATTAACAGGTTGAGTTGAGATTTTCAACCCATTTAATAAATGGGTTAATCCGCCTAACCCATTCAAATAAATGGGTTGAGTTGGGTTGAATTTTTCGACATGTTTTCAACCCATTTAAAATATTATGTAATTTTATTTTATTCTTAATATTATATTCAGTATTCTAATTTTTAATTTTGTTTTATTCTTAATTAAAATTCTACCGTCGTAAGATGAAACTCCAAATTCCAATCGCCTCCATTACTCTTAATCATCATGAACCCTAAAAAAACCCTTTAGTCCATTACTCAATTATCACATCCAAAGTCTAATCCAACATATTTTGAACAATATATTTGTTGTGGTTGTGTTTTATTCAAACTTTGAACAATTTGTTTGTATTTGTGGTTATGTTCTATTAAAAAAATTAAATAGTTTAGTCCTATTTTTATTTAAAATTTTAAAATCAAATGGGTCAACCCATGTTCAACCCATTTATTTAACAGGTTGAGTTAAGAAAATCGTAAACAAGTCAACCCACTGTCAATCCATTTAGGTAACATGTTGGGTTGGGTTGAAAAAAATCTCAACTCATTTAATTAAATGAGTTGGATTGGATTGAGATTTTCAACCTGTTTAATAAATGGGTTGAACTCGAACCCAAACCAACCTCAGCCATTGCCACCCCTAATTTTTATCTTTTATAAAAACTGTTATAATCATCAAGAAGATTATATAAATGTAACCTTGTAAGTGGTGGCTTAACTTATAATAAACTTGACCCTTTGTGCCTCATCCTTTGAGGTTACCGGTTCGAGTCCTACATGTTGATTGAGATTTTCTTGACTGCTTTTTACGACTTTCAAGATTAGTCAATGTGTATATAAACTGACTCAAACACGAAAACGGACGAATCACATGTGATTTTACGCTAACATCACAATATAAAATCACATTTGATTCAGGCGATCTTGTCCTGCGACCTGAAGACGCAACCACAAGTCGCCCGGAAACTTTTTTTTACCATTAATGTAAAATCACATATGAATTTACACGTAATTTACCTATATTCATATTCTTTTAAATATGTATCGTTATCGTTATCGTTTAATCTTGTCTTCCCCTTTTCTATATGTACAATGTCTTTGTAATTAATACCGTTTGAAAACAAGGTGGCAGTTGGACAATGAGTCCTTGTCAAATAGGAAAATAAACCAAGGACAACAATGACATCATGTCGATATTCGGTTTTTGTACTTTTCTTTTTCCAATTATTTATTAAGAGAAATATTAGAAATAGAATTTAATCTTATAATATTTATTTTATTTCAAAGATTCAACATATTATTAAAATAATTAATGCATTCAATATTTTAATAAATCTTTAAATAATTCAAATAAATTTCAAACACATTTTATATAAAATTATATCAATAAACATTTTATTAACCGTGATATGTTTTTAGAGGATGTTGTCGAATTCCTATGGAATAAATGATGGTTAAAAATGATATGTTCGTAAGTTATGATGTATCTCAAACATTTTATTAGTCGTCTGTTTTATTAATAGTTGGTTTTATTTTGCTAAACTGTTACTTTTGTTTTTACTTTGTTTACTGCTACTTCGATTAGATTGAGGTGCATGGGGAATACGTAGATCACGGGTTTCTTGGTCATCTGTAAGATTGTGGTATCGTACATTCACACCATCTATAACACCACAACTGAATGGTGTTTCCAGAAGATGAAATGAACCATTGTTGGACATAACTTCATATATATGTTGAGTTAAGTTGACCCAGATGCAACCCTTTTTTTTTTTCTTCATAAACCGGTGTCGAAAAGATGTCATATGAGATATGGACTAGAAGGAATCTAGAGTTGTTTTTCATGATGATTTGTGTTTGTAAGGGTTACGTGAGACATCGAAACTCCAATAAGTTAGAATCTAAAGCCGAAAAATCCAATTTAGTAGAATATCTGAACCAAACTATATTTTTTTTTTGGGGGGGGGGGGTATTAATTCTACTCTCTTTAAAACAACAGAAAAAATTGTTGGTCGAGTTGAAGTCTTAATGGATAAAGAGTTCATCTCTAAATGACCAGTGACAAGAACGTAGAGTTTGATGATTTCATGCATTTTTTGATAGAGTAAAACATGATTTTACGCTTTATCATTTTACCACTTCTGTGTTCAAGTTTGACAAAATGAAAAGAACAAAAATTCTGTAGAAATAGTGAAATTTCAAGATTTGACTTGGAGCAATCTCGAAGTTTGCATGGTTGCCAATCCGGATGTTTGCTTGTATAACATGTTAGCTAGTCTTTCAGTCTGTTTCACTATGTCGTCAAATGATCGGAGTTATGAAAAAAATCAAAATTTAAAAATCCGTAAGAACAACAAACAAGATATCCAAAAGGCAACGGAATTTAAGAAATCTTTGGGCATACACACAACCTTTGGCAACTTGAAAAACTAAACAATCCTCTATAAATCCGATCATTGACTATCCATAAAAACTTCGTTTTTAAGAGATTTTCACACTTAAACACACATCCGGTTTGATATATATATATATATATATATATATATATATATATATATATAGGGGCCTAATCAAATGAGAACTAATTAGTTTGTGGTAACTGTGAGAACCAATATTAAACACAAATCAATAGATAAATTAGGAAATTTATAATTTTGGCAATTTTGAATTAAAATATTAATGCAATGATATTTTTGGTATTTTAAAACTTTCCTCCCTCCTCTCTTCTCTCTCCGGCCACCGTCCTCCGGTGATACTACAATGGTATCACAATGCATCATATATGTGCTTGGGTATCACATTGATGTCGTTTGTGTGGTCGATCGAAGATGTAACACAGTGGTATCACTATGCATCTTATATATGATTAGGTATCACAATGTATCTTTTGTTTAACAGAGTCAATATTTTTAGGTATCACAGTGGTATCATAGTGGTATCACCGGAGGACGGTGGCCGGAGGCCGGAGAACGGTGGCCGGAGAGAGAAGAGAGGAGAGGAGAGTTTTAAAATACCAAAAATATCCTTGCATTAAGATTTTAATTTAAAATTACCAAATTTATAAATTTCCTAATTTATCTATTGATTTGTGGTTAATATTGGTTCTCAATGTTACCACAAACAACTCAGTTCTCCCTTGAATAGGCCCCTATATATATATATATATATATATATATATATATATATAAATCACTTGTGTTACTCATTGATCCATTGAAACTTATGTCAAAGAGAACAATGTGTACTTGGATATTGTACAATTTTGGTTTATAGCGGATCAAGTTTGTTAACCACTCTACATCGACGTGTTTGTTTTCTCTCGAAATTTTATATCTCCATATTGAATGTTTGTGTGTGAAATGAAAATTCGTATTCTACATTGTACCCGTTATTGTTGTCATGTTTTAAACACCATAGAAGAAATGGTACATTTGTGAGTCTGACACAACCCTTATAGCTGAGGCTAACCGAGGGGACTAGGCGTGTACATACTGCCCAGAATATCGAGTTCCTAGAATGGTGTAGACAGTGGCTCTAATACCATGGTAAGAGCTCTCGAAAAGAGAAATGAGGCTCCAATATAAAAGACCGTGTTCGCGGTTAAGAGAACCGTTAACATGGTCCCTCAAATTCTTATGCAAAACTTGATGCAACCCTTGAAAAATAAATGTTAACAACTATGTGACAAGATCTATTGTTCAACTATTTCCACTTATCTTATGCCCTAAAAACAGATTGTAGACTAACCTGTGAATCCAAGCTTTTTATGAGCAATTCCGTCCAAACAAAATCTAGATATGAACCTATAAACCTTCATGTCTAAGCTTGTTCAAAAGCGCGGTTATAAGAGCATCTCTTTTTTCGGATCGGTTTTCCTCTCGGATCCGTCTTTCTTCTTCTCGTTCTCGCCACCTCCGGTCGAACATAACTCGCTCGTTCTCCAACGCTTCCATCGTTTGCCTCCATTCCATTTCCCTCATCCTCCTCTCCTCTTCCTTTGCCTCATACATCTTCATCCATTGCATTTCTATTTGCATTTGTTGCTTCATCAAATCCTCTAATATCTCCTTCAAATTCACCATCGTACTATCCGAATTCCCTTTTCCGATGTTTGCAATCTTCTTCTTCTTCTTATTGATGCTTGCCTTCTCCACATCGCTATCGTCATTGCCTTCCTCCTCGTCCGAAGACAAATTATGCGTCGTTCTCTTCTTTGATGATCCGCTAGGTACGCCTTCGGCTTCCAACCATAGCATCCGTTGCATCCGACCAGTGAAGATCGCTTGCAACTCGTTAAAGAATGGGAATTGTAGCCTCATACCTTCTTGTTCCATTGTCTCAAAACCCTAAATGAGTTGTAGCAACAAAACCAACATCAATTTCTTCCAATCCATAACAAGAAACCCTAATTAGTTTCTTCCACAACAAAAACTATTTTATGACAAAAATAATGCATTACATTTTGTGGGGTGTTCTTATATCCGTAAAAGAACACTTGTTACTTGAAGTTTTCTGTACCGATTGATAGAAGTACATACCCGTAAAAATGTACGTATTTTACGGTTTCCCGCTTCTATAATACCTCACGAAAACCCCAAATCGGTTTCGGTTTTGATGGACCACCATATGTGAAACAAATAACCTACAACTTTGTATCGATTTTTGGTGATTAATACGTAAATTTTTCGAAGCATCGTGCTTATAAATATCGCAAACCGAATGTTTTGTTTAATAAGTTCGAATACTTGTAAATCATCAAGATACGTCGATTAACATATGAAAAAAGATGCTGGTTTTCACTTGAGTTTTGCAGGTTTTTCGATTAAAGTACCGAAACAAGAAGATCTAAAGAAGACACACCTTATAACGTGTAACAAGATTCTTCCATTTGCACTTGCACTGCTCAGCACTGCGATTATACCCCCTCTCCTTCATCTTTGTAGAGATAACTTCCCATAGAAGCTTATTACGTTTGGTCTCCATGAACGTCGGATCCAGCTCCGCCCTTATCATCAAGAAATCCCTCGTTTCCTGCACACTCCATTGCGGAAACCGGTCGCTGCCGCCGCCACCGCCACCACCACCACCACTGCCGCCACCCGAATCCACACTCACACTCATATGATGAAGGTGGCTAGGGTCCATATATATATAGATCAAGAAAAAGGGTTTGATTTTCTTGAAATATTTTGTAATAAAAAGTTCGACAGATGAATTGGGTGAGAAGAAAGAGATCTTTTTTGCGTATGGTTTGAAAGAGAAAAAGGAGGAGTTGAGGGAGAAGTAGAAAGCTTTATACGATGGTTTTGGGGAGGCGGGGGTGTGAAAATGTCAAAGGAAAAGAAAAAAAGAATGATATTTATGCTTGTGAAGAATATAATATAAAAAAGCATTTTTCATTTATAATTTTCAAAGAATTTAATTCTTGTTAATATGACTTCTAAATATGGTTAAAGACACATCTTTTTGATTCCCATGTTCTTACTAGGGTAAGATATATTAAGCATATTTTGGTTTGGTTTTGGCGATATATATATATTTGGGATCATGTGAGACCAATGGTTTTTTGTGAGACCCGTAAGACCAATTCTCAACCCTTGGATTAGATCTACATTATGAATATCTAAACATTCATAAACGCCACGAGACTTCTCAATAATCACAAAATTACCACTGTGCAATTTAGACCATTAGATTATTAATTTATAAAGTTGATCAATGAATATAAATTGGTCTTACGGGTCTCACGAAAAACATTTGGTCTCACATGAACCCAACTATATATATATATATATATAGACTTGAGATCATGTGAGATAAAGTTGTTTTCGTGAAATATATAAGATAATATTTTTACACTTGAAACTTCACAGCAAAACTATATAAAAAACTCACAATTCTTATTTGGTATCTCATTTCAATTTTTTTGACAGATTCCATTCTTTTAAAAATCATTCTGTAAATGAAACACCCTCTTAAATTCCTGACATATTTGTTTGATCCTAAAAAACAAGTTAGTCACATTGTCTTAAAATAAACTTAAAATCATGGTAAAAGAAGTTATTACATAATTAACAAACCATTTTATTTTAAACTTGTAATCATAAAGCTTTTTATTAAATTATAAATCAAGTCAAAATATTAAATAAATATATTATTTATACTATATTATAAAGCATTTGATAAAACTCTTAAAAACCATTTTTTATGCATGAAGTATTGTTTATTGATGCATATTACTTAAAATTCAAGATTACAAGTAATTTTGCATAAGTACAAATTATTAAAGCTCCATTTTTAAATTCATGTAACTAACTGCAGATAAATATAATCAAATATATGATAAACATCCATTTAAATATAGAAAATCTAAAATATAATTAAGATAATCATTGAGTTCTAGCAGAATGTTTAATTATCATCTTTATAAAAAATTATATTATTAAACCAAAATAAATTATCTTGTTATTAAATTTAAATTAAATAAAATTGAATTAAAGTAGTTATACCAAAAAAAACGAAAACTATTAAATAGTTAATTTAATAATAATATTGATTGATTTATTTTTTAAATTCTTATGTTATTTTCAAATTTATATTTCATTCAAAAATAAAAACATTACCGTTTTTTCTTAAAACCACATAAAATCATATTATATCAATAAAGACAAATAATAAAAATTAAACATTAAAATGAAGATTTATCTCGCTGCATTACGCGAATACTCTTCTACTCAAATACAAATATATTTCTCTACCCAAAAATACAAAGATTATTGAGTAATTTAATATTAGTGTCTATTTAATGTAACGATAACATTGTAATCATTTTAAATTGTAATCTAACGATCTTGTAATATTTTAAGATGTAAATTTATCAAACAATATATTACAATTCAGAATAAAAACATAATTATGAATAAAATAAATCTATTCATTTATCAACCGAACTATACACCAAATATATTATATTTTAATATATTTGCTTAAAGATTGTTTGCATAAAAATAATTAAAAAACAAAAAACAAAATGAGTGGAAAGTACCTGGACAAAACAAACGCTTTTGTTCTGAAGCTCATCCTTCTACGCGGAAACTTAAGACCCCCCTCTTTCTCTCTCTAACCATTTTTTTTAAATAAATAAATAATTATTTTTTACATACACATTTGTTCACATTACGTTACCAATGGTCATGCTTACGTGGATTTGTTTATATTATTGATTATACGTATTATATAATGTTGCTTTTCCTATTATAGTATTATTATAAAAGAAAAATAAAATAAATAGATTGATACACTTAATTAGATAATAATGGTAGACAACATGAAGTTAAATTACGTTTTTGGTCCTTCTAGATACCCACAATCTAGATACCAAATGTGTTAATTGTATTTAGGGTTATTAAAAAGGTACTTGCATAATGTAGCGAGATAAATCTCGATTTTAATGTTTAGTTTTTATTCTTTGATTCTATCGATATAATACGATTTTATGTGGTTTTGAAAAAACGGTAATATTTTTATTTTTGAATGAAATATAAATTTGAAAAATAATCGATATTAGTATCAAATTAACTATTTAATAGTTTTCGTTTTTTTTTGTGTAACTTATTTAATTCAATTTTTTATTATAATTTAATTTAGATTAAATAACAAAATAATTTATTTTTGCTTTAATAATATAACATTTTATAAAGATAATAATTAAACATTCTGTTAAAACTCAATGATTATCTTAATTATATTTTAGATTTTCAATATTTTAAATTGATGTTTATCTTGTATTTAATTATGTTTATCTGCAGTTAGTTACACGAATTCAAAAATTGAGCTTTAATAAGTTGTACTTACGCAAAATTACTTGTAATCTTGAATTTTAAATAATATGCATCAACAAGCAGTACTTCATGCATAAAAAATGGCTTTTAAGAGTTTTTAGCAAATGCTTTATAATATAGTATAGATTATGGTTTGTATTTCATTACGGATTTGGTCTATTGATCTAACGGTCGTTTAATTCCTTTGTATCCCTTACCGGTGTCATATATACATTATCTAGGATCATCTTGATGTACCTCCATGGAACCCTTTCTAATCAGATGTGTTCCAATCTTTTTGGAGGTGATGTTATGTTATTGAGTAATAAATAAAATAAATGTAAATTTTCATACCATATATTGTAAAGTAAATTACACTATAGGTCCTTATGGTTTGTTCGTAATCTGGATATGAACCCTCTTTCAAAAAAAGTACATTCAGCGTGTCCGCCGTTTGCATTTTGTTACGAGCTAGACCCCTTCCCTTAACTTTGTTAAATCCAAGTTGTTAACTCAGGGGGCAATTTGGTTAATTCAACACAATTTTTCCTTTTTTCGTGTTAATATTATAATATCATGTCATATCATAATATATAGAGAGAGGGAGTTTCAAAAACAAACCATATGATTGTTACAAACCCTACAAACCAAATATGGGTCATTAATTATGCTTATTTTGAAGTCTAAAGGTTGTTGTTAAATTAGTTAAAGGATGAGTTGAGAGTAAAATTAGGAACCGAGTTAATCTACACAACTGATATACATGGATGATTGTGATTGGTTTGTAAGGTTTGTAACATTTACACGGTTTAAATTCCCTCTATATTAATTTGTATGTACATGGAAAAAGATAACCCTCGCTAGCAACACCCTTGCTTTCACAGATACAATCATTCTCCAGCTTCCCTTTTCATTCGACAACCAGTCAAACTGCCAGAGAACCCCTGTCCCCACCCAGACCACCTTGATCTCACTTTTCTACCATACTCATACCATCACATTGCTCCATCGAGCCTCCTGTTTTCTTTTTCTCTTTCCATCCTTGTACCTACAACACCACCACTGCTCATCCCTTGAATCTCCTCAAAATTTTGTTCTCCCTCACAAACAAATCATTGTAACCGTTTCTAATATGTCTAGTATGTATGTTTGTTAGGTTACAATGATAAATGTTACCAAAGTTGCATGTGTTGTGATGAAGATGAGAATGAAGTTACATGAATGAGAAAACAGGTTATGGTGGTTGTGTGGAATATTGGTGATTTTTCAGGACAAATCTATATGGTGTGGTTAGGTGGATGGTAGGTTGGAAGTTGCAACAAAGGATTCATGGAAGATGGACAAATAACACGATGACTTCCAATCTGCAATCTCTATGGAAGGGATGGCAATATGTGGTTCACGATGACATGTACGATTGAAGGGGTCCATGTAACACCTGCGATTTTGGGATTTCCATTTGTGATCAATCACCCTTTCGCTCGAAAAAAATGATGGAGGTTCAATAAGGTTTTAGGTAATAATAATGTTGAAAAGCTTGTGGTTCGAATTGGGATTGAAAACGACGAAAACATGCGATAAAGAGTTCAAAGATTTGGTGATTGGAAACTTGATTTGGGAAGTAAGAAAGATTTCATGGAAGAATGTTGGTTGGGACGCTTCAAAGCGTGATAAAGGTAAGTTTCTTGAAAATTTCAACCTCTAGGAGAAGGATCTTTGTATATCTAAAGCTTATACTCGTTGATGGTTCATTTCTAGACTTGGAAAAGTTTCCTTGGTGGGATTTTTTTGTAGATCAGATATCTTTATCCTATGAAATCTAAAGTTTTGGGTATGGAATATAAGTTTAACTTAACCTAACAAAGTGAGTTCAAGTTGCTTTGTGAAAACTTTGTACATACCAAAAATGTGTATTTTGAAGTCTTAAAGATGTTTACTTCATATTTATCAAATATGTTGATGATTTAATGAGATTTGCATCTTTGATAAATCTTGTGAAATGCACATATTTGGGTTTTTGAAAATTTTGGTAAATAACCGCAATGTGTAGAGATTTTGATGATTAAGACACTTTTAGTGTATTCAAATTTACAAAACCATTGGAAAATATACATTATTGTGTTATAAAGTATCTTAGAGATATAAATAATATGATTTCACTTAGAAGATGAAATGATGGGTTTTAAGTTAATCATACTTTTGGAGCATGTGTTTGCATAACCATTAGTTAAATATGTTTTATTAATGATGACTTTTATTGAATATTCAATTGTGTTGTTGAGCTTTTAGCTCGGTTTTAACCCAGGTGAGTCTTGGGGGCATTAG